GCAATTTGTGAACGATTACAAGCGATGGGAAAGATCCAAAAGATGGGAAGATGGGTGCCACATGAATTGAATGACAGGCAATTGGAAAATCGAAAAATTGTCAGTGAAATGCTGCTTCAAAGGTATGAAAGGAAGTCATTTCTGCATCGAATAGTAACGGGTGATGAAAAATGGATTTATTTCGAAAATCCCGAGCGAAAAAAATCATGGTTATCACCTGGCGAAGGCGGCCCATCGACTGCAAGACCAAATCGCTTTGGTCGCAAGACCATGCTCTGTGTCTGGTGGGACCAGGTTGGTGTCGTATATTATGAACTGTTGAAACCTGGAGAAACAGTTAATATTGATCGCTACCAACAACAAATGATCAATTTGAACTATGCATTGATCGAAAAACGTCCATAATACGCTCAAAGACATGATAAGGTGGTTTTGCAGCATGACAACGCGCCGTCTCATACAGCAAAACCAGTCAAAGAAGTGTTGAAATCACTTGGATGGGAAGTTTTATCGCACCCGCCGTACTCTCCAAACCTAGCTCCATCCGACTACCACCTTTTCGCATCGATGGGGCATGCACTTGTAGAGCAGTACTTCGCCGATTTCGAAGAAGTTAAAAAATGGCTCGATGAATGGTTTAGCTCAAAGGAGAAACAGTTCTTTTGGAATGGCATTCATAAATTGCCTGAGAGATTGGCAAAATGTATAGAATCAAATGGCCAATACTTTGAATAAATATATTTTAACTATCCATTGTAAATAACGTGTTTTCTTTAGCGAAAAAACCGGAAAGGAATTACCGACACACCTGGTACATCGCAATATCGTTGCGGGCTGCTTATAATGTAGAATAAGAAAAATAAAAATTGATATGTAAGTTTCGGAATGTATCTCGATGGTCTAATTCGATGGGAGAATTTTCCTCCTAGCGGAAGGGATCGCCCATTGGGCAAAAGTCGGAAAGAAAATTACACAAAAAATTACAATGCGTTTTGAAGGTCATGCAAGAAGTTACAATCTTTCCAGTCCTGATTGTACATGCCGGCTTCACAAGTATGACCGACCGCGATCATATTTTCTAAATAAATATTATTAATGTTATTGCGAGAGATACATGGCTTTGCCTCTACATAATTGTATCATACATTTATGAATGGTAGGCTGACCGAAAAATGTAACTTTTGTCATAGATGGAGAGAAAGAGAGGAGGAGAGAAAAAGAAAAGAGTTCTTTATATTATCAAAAAAGACTCATCAAAATAATTACAATCAAGTTAAACGAGTTTGATTTCAAAATCATGAACCAACTGATCTGATTTTTTCATCAAATTTTAATATTGTTTTCATTCTTTTATCTGTATAAAATAAACTCAAAATTTAGTTCAATTTTTAAGACAAGCATAACGCTGCATTTTATCAATCAAACTTATCCCATTTAATTTACTCAATCTTTCACCCTCCCCCTATTGGTTAAAAAACCACCGATATTTTTTTAACTACCACATCCTTATTGGTTAAAAGAAAATATCTACATCGGGCGTACGTTGAATGAATTAATTCCATTAAATTTGCTAGTTTAAACTTCTACGCCAGGTTTGAATGGATTTGATTCGATTTTTGTTCATGCTGAACGATTATTCATATTGTGCGATTGGTGCAGCAAAATGTGCGTAACTCTACCAATTTAGTCCTTTTTACTTGATTTTTTTCAATAAAATTTAAACTAGGGAAGAGCTCTGGCGTTACCCGTACGTGACCAGTCAGTCTGAGGAAAATCCGCCATTGTTTTCGCATTCGGCCGGCCGCTTTAACGTGGCCCGCGTAATAAATATTCGTACTCGCCCGTAGGATTATACCCGGCAGGAATAATATTCCTCTTTGTGGATCTAGGTTCCTTTGTTGCGGCCTTTCGCCAACGTCGGCGGTGGTTGACGTCACCGTCGACGTAACGAAACGCCTTTAGAAATTGCCGTCTTTGTTTCGGACAACCCTTGTCAAAATCCCGAACAAAAGTTACTGATAAGGGTTCGAATTGTTATGGTAACTATAGTTCCATAAGTATTCCCCGCGTATTAAATGGTCTCCTTTCATATTCGACGTTGGATATATCAAAATTTCAGCAAGCTTCATTTGCACGTCAATTTGTCAAGAATTGTACCATTAAAATATAAGGTAGTGACGTGAATACATATATATACATCTCGAAAATTAATATACAAACGGCGCGGCGTAGAAAGATAATTCCCAGTAGATTTAATAAAGATCCGCCTCCATCTCTCTTCCTCGCCTTGAGTCTTTGTACCCATCGCTTTTGAGTTTTTGTTGATCTCTTTTCCCGGCTTACCGGAACACCGCGAATTCAGAGCCGGCTTTCACATAAACGTAACTCATATCGTGAACAATGTGTCAATTTTTCATCAATCATCTCCAATATGCATGTTTTATAATTATTATTCTGGAAAAGAATGTAAAAGTGTTCTTTATATCATTATTTTTATATTTATTTGTCAAACGCTCTAAGATGAAATATATACAATATCAAATATATATTATAACAAACATATTATATATACAATATATTAATTTTAATATAAATATATAAATAATTTTAAAAATGAAGCACGATATAATTATAATATATTCAAACTTAAAATTAGTGAGCACTAGTGTAAGACATTGTAGTTATTTTAATTAAAAGGAAAAGAAACAGAATCAACGATAGATAGATATATAAAGCATCAAGCACTATAAAAGATGGATGAGTGCGAACGTGCCAAAAATATTATTGATAATATAATTAGTGATAGCGATAATTAATGATTAATTCTGACACTTTTAGACATAAAGAAAAATATTTTATTGCTAAAAAAGCGAATTTGTTTTTTTTTCTTTTAAGTAACATCTTCAACAAAAAAATATATTTTTGCTAATAGTTTTAAAATATGCTTATCGTAAATTTTAGGAAGCCTCATTTTCATGTATTTGGAAAAAGAATTTATTTTCTTTCTATAAAAACCAAACCGAGTTTTTATAGAAATTTAATATTCTTGAACTAAATTTATCATTAGCAAAATATATTTTTTTGATAAAAGTTTTAAAATATATTTATCATAAGTTTTAGAAAAAATTCATTTTTATGTAGTCAAAAAAGAAAATGACTCTCCATTTTTAGAATATTATAACATGTATATTTACATATAGGGAATATTACAAAACATATTGTTACACGCGGCCGTCTCGCGCGTACCGGATTCGCGAAATGAACTTGGACAAGACTTTTAAGAAACGAAAGAACTCTTCTTTACTTCAAATATATACAAACTCTTACTTATTAACGAATTCTATTGTTCTAACAATAATTAAGAATAGCATTTGAGTCACATCAGCTGGCGGCGACGATTCGTGACTCTCTCTCAGCTGTTGTTGTTTTCTTCTTATCGATTTTCTGCCGCCCAGACAATCATCCTTCAGTTGTCAAAATCAGCAACAAATGCCTACGGCTCGCGGACAACGGACGCTGCCACAAACTTTGTGGCTTGTGGCTTGAACACGACACTCCTTATATATTTATATAAGCAAATTATTGTTTTATTTTAATTATTCTTTTAATCTGATATTCTTGGTTAAAGTGCTAAATTTACTAGGATTTACTTTGTACTTTTAGTATACAAAGTGTATAAAAAATATCGGGACGGTGAAATATCTCAAAAACTAAGCATTTAAAAAAACAATGTTTCAAAAGTTATATAGTTTTAAGGGGAACATAATTTGATGATTTTGAAATTTCCAAAGGTTGATAAGTAAATCAAAATCAAGGCGCTAATGTAACAATATACTCTTGAAATCAAGTAAAGTAAAAACGTCTAGTACCACTTTTTCTTCTAACAAATAGTTAGCGAAATAAGTTAATGATACGTTATATATTGAAAAAATTATCAAATTTTCCTTAAAAACCCCAACAAATATTAGGCAAATAAAAAAATGTTTCAGACATAAGTTATTGAAATTAATTAGTAAAAAAAGAAAATATAATAAAAAATTGAGATTTCTGTTTAAGAAAAGTAATAATCAGTGAATATCTCGAAAGTGGCATCAAAAGTGGTAAATAAAATGATATAGTTGCTTTATACTCTCTTCAAAACCGTACAACTTTTGTTTGAAACATTTTTTTCTAAAATGCTTAATTTTCGAGATATTTTGCCATCCCGGTACTTTTTATACACAGTGTATAATAAATTTGATGCTCATCGTACATTTCGGAAAGCTCATATTTTCATACACTCAGAAGAATTACTTCTCTTCTCGAAAATATTACAAAATTTATATTCTATGTATAAAAAGCAAACTAAATTGACGAGCTCATTCAATATATATAAATATAAGACTCGTCATAAGTTTGGAAGCTTAAAAAAGACGAAAAATTTAAAAAATAGACGACATTTACTCAAATACATGATATATTTTTCTATGCGTGCACGCTACGATAAATCACGATTTTTTCAACATATTCGCGACTCGTAAGTTATGAATAGCGTATCAAAGTTTGCAAATAGAAACACAGAAGACAGATTAGCACTTAGCAAAATTAACACGTTTCAATTACTTCGCAAGCAGCATAATCGCGAGGTACAAAATGCACGCAATACGATACTGCGGATTATTTTCCCGATATTAAACTTGATGCAACAATGATTGTCTTTAGTTTATAGAATGTAATCGCGAATGTAAACGCATGCTTGATGAACGTAAAAAGTTAATGATCGCAGTGAGACCGGAATCGTCAGTTGTTTGCCAGTGCAAACGATCGGAGAGTAACATGTAACAAAATTTATATTATATTGTTAGCGTTCTAAATGTATATTTATTTACGCAACATTCGACTTAGTGACGAATACAACATATTTGTAGTCCGTTATATCGTCGAATATAATTCAACGTACAATATAAACAATACCCGAGGCGCGCGCGCGGGAATGTTTATAAATACATTGCCGATTTCTTCCAAACAGTCATTAGTGGTACATTTGAGCTGTGTTTGGAAAATTTTCTTACTTCACAAAGGTACTGTATTACATATACGCGCATTACTTCTAAATCAAGAGATTACAGGAAAATATTATTTATTTCCGTCAGGTGAATACATCATAATGAGGCCGGACAACAGAGATTGGACACACAGAATACCGTCTAATTTATTCGAGCCTAATGCTTATAATATTTTTTTCTATCCAAACCTTTGTCACGTTTGCAAGGGGACAAATGCTGGCAATTTGATACTGTGCAAGGATTGCCTTTCGATTTCTTACTGCAGTGACAAACACAAACACCTGCATCGAGAAGAACACACGGAGTTCTGCGTAAATATGAAGAAATTTTTAAGACTATGTAACAGATATAAAAATCCTCCAAGTAGAGCCGATTGGGTCAATTCAAGGAGGGACCTTGTGAGAATAATGAGGAAAGAGATGCAGCGCCCGTTAATGCCATACGAAGAGGAGATGATCATGTTCGCAAGATCATGTTACATCTGTTTTCAGGAGTTTGATCTCAGAGTATGCGAGATGTGCTATTCCGCCTACTATTGCGAACAACACAAGCAGCAATTTCAAATTAAGCACAATAAACATTGTTGGGATTTGATGTTTTGTCTGAACCTAGAAATGAGACACGCGGGGACGAAGTTGCACTATGATTTCTCTATTTTCCCTAACGGTACGAAATATATTGACGACATGGAGGGCTTTATGAAAAATTATTATTACCTGGACACAATTCCTAAATCCTGGTCAAGTAAGGCATATATACACACCGACTTCGTATCAACACCGTTAACAGTGTTATATGGGATAATCAGCGCAGAGGTAAATGTTCTAAATATGAATGGGCATCAATATTTTGTGCACATAATAACATCAAGCTATCTCGAAGCGGAATACGCGGCGGCCTGGGAACTTTTTCTGCATACTTTATATCAGATAAAGCAGCTAACGGTTGTAATAATAGGACTAGAATGCAAGTTCGAAGGTAAGTACTTTGATCTTTGTAACAAATGCAATAGTTACGGACAATCGCTTAAACTCGAGTTTAGTCCTATGTTGTATCACAAATATATAAACAGACCATTGTGCAAGAAACCAAATGTGATCATAAGATTCGATGTAGATTTGAAGGATGAGACGACATTGATAGATATATTTTCGACGCCGAATATGAACTGTCCATATTTTTTACTAGCAACATCGAAATCTGTTGCGAAAGAGAACAAAACTACGATGAAGGAACTTCTAAATTTACAGCCTGCATATAATGAGCAAAATAAGTTTCGGTCTTTTCATCCATGGAGAGACTTTCAGACTGGTTCCGTCTATTATCGTAATAATTATGTAACTATTTATCCGAATTTCATTCTTTGAAATTCCAATCTGTGGAAGCGTCTTAGAATCTTGTAAATTAATAGGGGTTCTTTTTCAAAGCTCATTTTTTCAAGATTTTTTGCAAGGCTCATCTTGAAGAACCCTTAGAGCTTTCACGTACGATTTGCATACTATTTTATTAATTTATTGAAAAAAAAGGTCTATTGGTTTCTTAAATTATGAACATTTTTATCTCATGTTCTTATCTCAATATTATTAACTTATTACTATTAGGAATTTTTTTATACAGTATTATGTATTTTATTTTGTATAGTATTATGTAGTATAGTTTATTAGTTATGTATTATATAACATATTTTGTATAATTTTGTACAGTAGTATGTATTTTATTTTGTGACCTGCTTGATGTAAATTACGGATATTTTTAAAAATATGTTTTTCTTCTAATATCAATAAATTTTTGTCCAAAACGTACTGACGAACAAATATTTTAATACATCAAGTGCATAAAAATATTTTAATATCGCATGTATAATATTATTATAAAATATTATTATAAAAAAAAGAAAACAGCTTGAAAGTATACTTTTGAACACGCCACACATTCACTCCGTAAATATAAAAAATATATAAATTACTAAGGATTACGTACAAACACGTGTGCCTTTATAATCTGCGTATTCTTTTGTACATATTAATTACGAGATTAAAGATATTTCCTTCTTATCGAAATCGATGTGATACAGTAGTGAGAAACGTTAATAAGTTATAACTATGACATTTTTTATTAACACTATAGAAACCTAGCATTAATGAACGAAATAAATAAAATAATATAAAAATGTAAGAAGATAATAAAAAGAAGGAAACAAGAAAATAGCAAAAGAATAAAAAGCAACCAAATTTTAATATATCAAAAAATAGCGTCTGACTTATTTACCCCCTATATATACACGTTTTTATTGTTTAGGGGACCTTCGTGTACGACACAGATTGGACGAGTTTTGAAAATAACTAATCATATTTAGATATTCCGTTACAAGGTATTCTTTATTATTTATCGACCATCGTGTACACAATATTAGTGTTACAAATTGTTTTGTGACAGCTTTATAGGCGCTTACACTTTCAACTAGCCGCCTGCGACATCGGATAGCGATGAATAAAATTAGAACAAGTCCTTTCGCGAGCGCAGCGCTTCGCGTGAAATCAAAGAATATTTTATGTACACGCTTATCATTTCACTCGCAATCTCCATCCCTAAGATCTTATTTATCGATGCAGCAGTTTCTTTCCCTCTTCGTGCTTCCCGCTTCCCATTCCTCTTTTTTCCGTCGGATAAAGCAATTCATTGGCTCTCCTCTCATATTGCTTTTATACGTTTGCACAAATGACTGGGCGTGCCTCGTTCATTCGGTGGAAAAAAGGAAAGCCTTAGGCGAAAAAGTTTATTCATCACGGAAGGACTAGTGCGCCAAGTGGCCCGGCTTTGTGTCCGTAAAGACGGGGGAAAAGTTGCGTATATAGACTGTGTGGCCGACATCCAAGGCACTTCATTCGGATTCATTCTCGTAGCCGTGTCTGGAATTATCTTCCGGATTATTCGCGGCTGTTGAGGGCTCGGAAAACTCGTACACGGCTATCCTAGCGAGTCGCATCTTTGAGCATTCGGAAGAGATTTCCGCATAGAAATCTATTACGATTTTCCCAGATATACAATACGGCTTCCAATCAGACTCTATGTCCAAAAATGTCCCACTCCGCGTTACCAATCGAAAATCTCTCGTTCTCATCAGAAATGGATTTCCCATGTAAAATTCACGCAAAGAAAGTAATTTTAAAACAAGCGGAACCTAAATGTTAGAGGATTTTACTCTTATGTATGGCCTTAAAAGGATTCTTCTAAAATGAAGAGGAAAATATTATAAATACATTATTCTTAAAATTTGAGGAATAATATGTTATATGTATAATGCAAATCTCATTGATTTTATATATAAACTTCCTCTTATACACAGATTACTTAATTTTCCTTTAAGAGGATTATTATTTATTTTTGCTGTACTTTATTCTTACTGGTTAATTTGAAAAAATTATTATAATGTATAGCGGAAAGTAATATATATGTACTCCTGGCTCCAGTTCTACAATAAGTAGGCACGAATGAAAGATAATGAAAGATAAGGTCATCATAACAAATATATTTCCAATCAGTCAGGGTGTATTTCTTCCGGATGGATACCGCGTCGTAATTCAGCTTTGTGCCGACGTTTCGCAAACATTGCATCATCAGGGCCAGGAACTTTGATACTGAGTCTTCTTGGTTTGTGGTTATATACTTTTCCATTCTTCTAAGTAAGTTTAACCAACAACGGATCCAGGAGTAAAGACATCAATCGAATAATCTATAAACTGAAGAACAAAATTTCGTATCCGAACAACACCCAAAAGCCAGAGGAAGAAGGAGAAAAAACTGAGAAGAAGAAAGAGAAAACAAGACGGTTGTCCTCCCATATCTTCAAGATACAACAGAACATATTAGCAAGGCTCTAAACAAACATAACATCTAAGTGATTTTCAAGCCAAAAAAACATCTCACAATTACTCCCCAACCCGAAAGACCAGAAACCATATTTGAACACACCAGGTATGTATGTGTATGAGATCCCTTGTTCCTGTGTAAAAATATATATCCCGGAGAAACCGGGAGGAGGATTAGTACACGGATCAAAGAACACCAGCGATGTACTAAGTACGGTCACTTTTCTCAATCTGCCTTGGCTGAACACTGGATGGAGACTGAATACACCGTACAGTATGACAAGACAACCATTCTGACCCCCTCACAAAACTACTACGCCAGAAAACATCGAGAAGGATTGGAAATTCCAACAATGTTAACCGAGATAAGGGTCTTCAGGTGAATCTTATTTGGTACGCTGTCCTCCCGATTTTTTAATTGACCAGCCAGCCAATTAATATGATTGGTCAAAACATTTCCCCCATCCCGTTCCCCATTTCTCCCAACCCCCACTTAGAAGAATGGAAGAGTATATAAGGACAACTACAAACCAGGAAGATTCAGTATCGGAGCTCCTAACCCTGATGATGCAAGCTGCTTGCAATGTTTGCAATATTTGCGAAACGTCGGCATAAAGCTGAATTATAACGCGGTATCCATCCAGAAAAAACACACCCTGATTATATGTATATTCTTATTTATCAATGCACCGATTTCTTTCCCTCCTCGTGCTTCCCGTTTCCCATTCCTTTTTTTTCGTCGGATAAAGCAATTCATTGTCTCTTCTCTCGCGTGGTTTTTGTATGTTTGCGCAAACGACTGGACGTGCCTCGTTTACTCGGTGGAAAGAAAGGAAAACCTTAGGCGAAAAAGTTTATTCATCACGGAAGGACTAGTACGCCACGTGACTACGCTTTGTAACCGTAAAGACGGGAAAAACTTCCATACATAGATTTGCGTATTGCCGACATCCAAGGAACTTCATTCGGATTTATTCTAGTAGCCGTGTCTGGAATTATCTCCCGGATTATTCGCGGCTGTTGCGTGCTCGGGTGACCCGTAAACGGGTATCCTGGCAAGTCGCATCTTTGAGCATACAGAAGAGATTTCCGCATAGAAACCTATCAAGATTTCGCCAGATGCAACACGGCTTCCAATCAGACTCTGTATTCGAAAGTGTCCCGAGATAAGTTGTCCCGCTCCGCGTTATCAATCGAATCTCTCGTTTTCATTAGAAATGGATTTTCCATGTAAAATTTCGACGAATAAACCGTGAGAAATCACGCTTAGTTTTAGTGGATAAAATCACTGCTGCTTCACGCGATCAAATAAAGAGTCGCAATTTTGTGCCACTTAAATTCAATAAAGTAACAAACAAAACTAAAAACGTCATCACTTTAAGCACTTACGCTTTTTAAATCTTTTTTCTGTAAAGCGTATACAAGCAGAATGTATTCCGTATGTTTTATTTAATCGTAATGTGAAGTAAGAACCAAGAACTCTCTAGGGAAGCGTTTAACGAAGCAAAAAGAGTTCGTTTACGTTTCCCGTTTAGAGATGTTTGAAACTGCACTCTTCTAATTCGAATCTGCTTAGACTCTCCGAGCAAAATCCGTAATATATTGAGTGTACGATTATGACTTTACGAATGTTTTGATAAAATAACACATTGATTTGAAACATAATAAATCATTCTTACTTTATTCAAAATATGCTCCATCGGAAGCTACAACCTTTGCCTTCTTTCAGGCAATAAGCGGATTTCACGCTGGTAGAAGTCTGGTAGTTTTGAAGCGATTCAGTTATGAAGCCAATTTTTAATTTCTTCATAAGAACTGAACCGCTCCCCAGAAAAGGCCGACACCACAGATCGGAACAAATAATAATCTGAGGGAGCAATGTCTGGTGAATATGACGGGTGAGGTAGAATCTCCCAGTTCACTCCTTCTAGATAGTTCTTCACGGATTCATAAACATATGGTCTGACATTGTCATGCTGTAAAATTATCTTGTCATGTCTATTCTCCCATTCCGGCCGTTTTTACTTCAGAGCTCGGTTCAAACATATTAATTATAGTCGATAGCGTTCACCAGTGATAGTTTCAGACAGTAGCAGTAGCTCATAATACACCACACTCTTCATATCTAACCAGATATGATACACCAGATACACAGCATAATCTTGCTGCCGTGGATGTTTCGCTTTGGCGTTGATGGACCAGGTTCACCGAGCTTAACCCATGCTGGTTTGCGTTTAGGATTGTCATAGTAAATCCACTTTTCATCGCCAGTAATAATTCGATGTAAGAAACCCTTTCTTTTTTGTCGTTGCAGCAACAATTTGCACGTGGTTCTTCTTCTTTCGATGTCTCTTTCTTTCAATTCATGTGGCACCCAATTTCCTTGCTTTTGGACCATTCCCATGGCATTCAGGCGTAAGGAAATGCATTGTTGGGTAACATTAAATGCTACCAATTCTTTTTCCGTTTGACACGCATCTTCCTCCAGTAATGCTTCCAATTGTGCGTCTTCAAATTTTTTCGATGGCTTTCCATGCGGTTTATCATCCAAATCAAAATCATGCTTTCCAAATCGTTGAAACCACTTTTCACACATGCTTATCGATAGAACATGTTCTTTA